ATCGACCGACTACTGAGTTCTGTCTCATTCACTTCATACGCACATCGCTTGCCTAAGCCGATTTGAGTCCAATTTAGCTCAAATCCTGCAGACATCGTGATCTCTGACAGACATGTTTCAAAAACGAAACTGAGGTGGAGATAATTCCCGACGGATCCATTGAATCTACGGGTGCAGAACCGTGCAAGCGGAGTAAGCAAGAGGTCTCGCTTCTAGAAAGTGAGCGCAGAATATAATGGCATTTAACAGATGAAATCAACTCATACTGATATACAGTAGCGGTCAAAAGTGTTCGCCGAAACGATTTTTAGTGCATTATTTTTTCTCGCTTGAGCAACGCCCTCCAAAGATTGATATACTATGTTTTCTAGTGTTTTTATATCCTCAAGTCTTAAAGAATCAGGATATTCAAAAAAATTCTTCGCCACCATTGATTTCTGACAAAAAAAAGAAGCACGGGAAACCGTTTCGGCGAACACTTTTGACCGGTGCTGTATATCGACTTGAGGTTTCACTTGAGGATCTCGCACTTTTCCTCTTTCACTTCAAGTTTATAATGCATGTGAAGTTTCACAATATGCTGTTCGCTGAACTTTACGTATACTTTACAAAACCCCTAAAGCCACAATTCGGGAGGTAGTAGGTGCCAAAAAGTAGTCCCTCCTAGAGTGAGAAAGAGAAATCCTCAAGCGTAGGAGGTGCGATACTCTGAGACTTAAAGCAACAATCCAGGAACGAATTCGCGGGTAAGGACCACCTATAATGACGTTGCAGGTGAGAAGTTGGTCAATGGAGAAAGAAAAAGTAGAAAAAAACGTCGGGCAGGGGCTTAGACAGGGACTCCCCCTGCCGTTTAGGGAGACGTGTGTTGGACGAGTTGTCCGAACCTGCCCGTAGTACATGCGCTCCAATTGCAACTGCTGGCAAATAGCCATGCATGCTTGCAAATACATAACTATTTGCCAGCAATCGAAATTGAAGCGCTTCAATTGCGTTCTTATGGAATCGACCTCATACAGCGCGGCGGTCCCGCAACGACCGCTAGTCGAGCAAGCGCTCTGCACAGCTGCTTGGAGGCGGCCCCACCACGGATCGGTGGATCCGCCCCTCTTGAAGGATTTCGACTGCTTCCAACGCCTTTCAGAGGTAAGTTTTGAAGTTTGTGACATTTCCCATGAACTCCAATCAGGCTGAGGCATGTTTCCACCACTTGAAAACCAAATGGTTGAAACCCTGCCTGGACTGTTGCTTTAAAGGAGGAATTCACGATTAGAATGAAGGTCGAAGAAGGAGTAATTCACCTAGTTGAGGGACCCGCGGACCTCCTGAGGGTGCGAACTGAAGCGCAATTGGCACCGAAAAATTGACCTCGGCGACCTATTAAGGCTCAATCTTGGCGCGGTGGGCCAGTGCACGCCCACCGATCATCTGATCACTCGCCGCAGGTCTATACGTGGCGAGTGATTAGATAGGTGAGAGAGCGTAGTGTTGAAGAGGGCACAGCGATGAGAGTCATGCTCAAATCAACGGGCAAGGAAGGGGTCCCATTTCTCGGGTTCTGGGCCGTTTCTCATGGTTTTCCTTCTTTAGTGTACCACTCACCATCGCTAACTTAATTTGAAATGGGTTGCCTTTCCAGCGTGAATTCGTCCTTTAAAATCTAGCAGGCGGCAATAAAGCACTTGCATGTGAGCTAGAGCCACGAATTCTCAAAAGTCTGTACAAATCTGAGGGTAGAAAATGACGAGCGATGCAACATAAATAAGCAGTGCCTTTGACCGTGAAATAATGGTGAATTTGTGAACTTACCATGAAGCGGTTACGAAAAACACATCCAAATGTTTTTGCCGACGAACTTCTCCTCTGGGAATAACCGCAACACAGATGGCGATGATCATGAACAGATTAAAAGCGGCCGATCCGACGATGGTGTTGGGTCCAAGATCACCGGCTTCGAACTTCTTTGCTATTACCTGTAAAGCTAAGACTTACTTTTTCATATAGCCAAATTAGTATTGTATTGCATTGCTGTAGTACTCCGAAATCATAGCATAGTGTGATTCGATCTTCTACATAAAATCATTGCTGAATCATGTCACTAACCTCAATGATGGAGAGCAAAATTTCCGGAGCGGAAGAGCCTGAAAAATAGCAAGTACTGGGATGCCTCTATTGAAATCGAAATATTGAATTGAAACAAACTTTGGACGTCGTTAAGCACTGTTCAATTTGTCCTTTGAGGGGAGCCATAAGTTGTGGACTTCTATCAAAGAAGTGAGGTCAAATGTACAGCTACCCCTAGCTGGATTCATTCACTCTCACTCTGGGTTTGTACGCTGTTGAGCACTGTTCAATTCACTGTACTATTCTTCACGCTAAATCTAGCATCAATTATCCGAGTCTGTAAGCTTCGAAAGCAGCTTGGATGGTCCGATCATAGTGCTAACACCAAGATTGCGCGCGCATCCAGCTATCTATCACTGCCCGAGCTCTATTCTTTAAATCATATCAAATCAAAAATAATACGCAGCGTTAGAGTTCACTGAGATTAGGGTCGAATTCTTCTCCATTGCCGTAAGAGGTTTTTCAGCACAGAACTTGTACAATGCCGAGCAGGTGGTGAAAAAGCACAGAACAGTGAAATGATTTGCTGGGCGGTATGTTGATGCGCAAAAGTTCGTCACAGCGAGACAGTCACTGCGCCCCTCCATCTTGCTACATCGCATCGTACTATCGACCATGAAGAATCTACCAAAAATGTGCATCTCGCTGAGTGATTTCAAAAAGGTTCCAGAGTCCATTGTTCACTAAAGTGTCCGTTTCTTGTAATGAACTAGTGAACACGGAATAGGCCTCTCTACAACAAATCCATAGTTTTTACTGAAATTCCTTTTATGGGGGTCCTATTTTGGGTGCGCCATGCAATCTACTTCCCCTGCGAGGTTGCTTTGGCCTTGGAAGGCGATTAAATATATACATCCATCCAGTGATTCAGTGAACCCAGTCGCTATATAGGCCAGATACGAACTGGTGAGTTTAAGTTTCCGGGCGAGTTTGTCAGGCAAAGTAATCGACGTCAGATAGGATGGAAGGCTCTGTTGGTTTGGGCGAGATTTGAACGGGGATTAGATCTCCAGACCGTGCATTTTATTACTGATGCCACGTATTACTCCACCACCTCCATCCGGCTAAATATGAAGTGCTGTAGT